CTGGCCTGGAACTCACTATGTTGACCAGGCTGGCCTTGAACTCACAGAGATCCGCCTGCCTCTGCCTCCTGAGTGCTGGGACTAAAGGCATGCACCAGCAGACTTGGCTTAAAAGAGATTTTTAACCTTTTAATTATTATTTATTTTATAATTATATGCTACCTTTATAGTAAATATAGACAATAGAATATCATTTTGGAAAAGTTATTAATTGCCAGTCTAAGGCCAGAGTATCTGCAGACTAATCTTTGACCCAATTAATCAACCTACAGAAAGTCTGGCTATCTGGAGGTTGGGTGAGAGACTGGCAGAGGCACAGATGAGAGTTAATGTTGACTGAGTGGACACTGTGACCAGACCTGTATGGCAGCAGCTTCGGGAGGCCAAAAGGCTGTGATAGCACTTTAGTTGTGCTCCTGCGGGTCCAAAAATGCTTTGCCCCTCCCCCACAACCGTGTTGTGCCTTCTTAAGAAAAAGAATAATCTTCATTTTTAAATGTTCATGTTTAACACCTACAGCAGATCGAAAGAAGGATTGTGTGAATGAGTGAATGCCTACGTAACCTGAAAGGCTGTCACACCCACCCCTGAATGGCACCTGGTAAACAGTGTTACCAAAGTGCTGGGACATGGGTTTTGGCTCTCTGGACACGTCCTGTCTGTCTGCCAAGCTCTCTTACAGTACGTCCCTGCTGTCTCACATCAGTGCAGTGACTGTTCAGTTAAAGTCCACTCCATCAAGGCAGGGCTTGCTAGCTGTTGAGTCATAGGCCTTTAACACAAGAATGTGTCTGGGTGTTGCTAGCTGTCCCCCAGATGAGTGGCTTTGTTGCAGTTCCTCTTCTGGCACTTAGGCACATCAGCATCAGCACCCCAACTTGTACTCGAGCTCTGCTCCACCTTTCTGTCAACAGCACAGCTGTCCCCCTCCTGCTCTCAAAGCCTGAAAGGAAAACATGCTTGTTTCCTACAGGGAGTCTACATTCAATCTTAGGCCTGATGGGTGGGTGGCATGTCTGCAGGACACGTTTGTTCAGAGACACTTTCCTGCTGCTGTGTGGGACATGCAACGGAATGCTCAAAGGCTATGTCATCTGAACTCTTCATGGGTGATGAAAACCTATTAATGTTAAACCCAGAAGTCTGCGAATATTTCTGCCATCATGTCAAATACCTTTGTAACTCATGAGAGTCACGAAAGTGTAAATCATAGGAAAGATTGTTTGTTCAGCTGACTGGAGTGTTTTCTCTTGGGTAAGTGGCTCCCACAGGTCCCAGCCTCTCCTACTATGAAAGGGCTAGTCACATGCCAGGAAGAATTGACTATGTGGACCCCTCCCCCAGAGACTTAACACTTGTCTTGATCATCAAACTTAAAGGCTTACTAATGGAATATTTTTATTTCCCTTTCTCTCTCACTAATTTATCTGTGTCTGGGGGGTGGGGTTGGAGCCACACTGTCAGGGGCTCTCACCTCATAAACAGTGTCCTCTGTTTCCTGTATTATCTTAGACTTTTATTAAACTAGACTCAGTAAAATGTGGGAATTGTGTCAGAGTTCTTTTCTTAAGTATCTTCAGTTTGGAAACACTTATCTGGTGGGTTAATGTTTTCTCTCCTGTCTGCCGGGCTCTGCGATAGGATTTGTTTTAGTTTGTGGTTTCAGATAGTTCAGTCTATGGTAGGCTGGTCCACTTATTTCTGTGGTGAGGTCGTTAGTACACAGAGCATACCAGCCTGGTGGGGCCAAGCTGTTCAACTCATGACAGCTAGGAAGAAGAAGGTGGTGGCAAAAATGAGCCATGGCAAGATATAGCCTCCAAATGTGTGTCCTAGTGACCTGCTTTGTCCAGCCAGGCTCCTCCTCCCACAGTTCCACTATCTGCCGATAATCTATTCAGTTTTTAACCCATCATTGGGTTAAAGTAATTCAGAGCCTTCATGATCTAATAGTCTGAAAATGTCTTCACAGACACACTAGAGGTGTGCTTTAGCAATCCCCTACATGTCTCTACAATCAATCAAATAGATAATATTCATAACCATCATATTTGGTTAAAACAGATGTTTTCTTTTCTTCTTCAAGATGGCAGTGCCCTACTTAAGGATGGGCAAAGTTCCGTAGTTCTTGTCCTTGGGTATGCATCCAGGTGAAACCTGGAGCTACTAGTCTCCTTGGGAGCCTTTTGTAGACTATCATTGCCCAACCAGTGTCTTAGGAACAGACTTTATGGTACAAGTCACCTGTGTGGTATCTCCCCATAAATTTTCTTTTGGAACATTCTGGGAAGGAGTGTTAGGAGACAAAGTCCATGATAGGAAGCCCTATCTTCGGATACTTTATTGGGTCCTTCACAGAGCCCTTTCTGTGCTTTTTACTTACCCCTGAAAGTAAAAAGCACACCTTGTTATATTGATAAATTACAAGATTTGAAGCTTGCTCTTTTGGTCCAGATGATGTTCTTGTCCCTGAAAGTGAAAAGCATACTTTATTATAATAATAAAAAAATTACAAGATTTTACGCATGCTCTGTTGGTCCAGACGTGTAACTACTGTGGTGACATGCAGGAAATGTGTGCAACAAGACCATGGCCCACCAAGCTGGCAGAGCCTGGCCGAGCAGGTTAGCAGGATCCCCCTGTCTCCACAGATGCTGATGCAGAGATTGAAGGAGCCCCTGCTGCACCCCTGGATGTGGTATCCTTGGATGCCAACAAAGATTACATCATCATCTCTTGGAAGCAGCCAGCCGTGGATGGAGGAAGCCCTATCTTGGGATACTTTATTGATAAGTTAGTGTTTGGCCTAATAAGTTAGAGTTCTTTGGTTATAAAGATGCATGCTTGATTTCTCCTATCGTTTCTAAGTGAAATACATTCTCTTCTGATTTTCTCCTCCTCTCCCGTCTCTGTCCCTCTCCCTCTCTTTCACCATATGTGTATGTATGCATACATTCATATCCATATTTATTTATAGACATAAATTCTTTGAATTTGATCACCAACACGTCACTGTTGGCAAGAGTGCAGTGAATCTGTACATCTAATAATAGAGGCCATTTTAGACATGAAATAACTGATAGTTAATATATTTTTTAATGTCTATCTTTCTAGTATGTCAGCAACTTAAGAATCCTGACTTTAGGAATGCAAATGAATTCTTTACACCACAGGACATGCTTTCAAGATACTCAGATTATATGAGAAATAATAACAAAAACACATAGTGTTCTGTTATGCTCTTACCTACAAGTTCTTGCTGTTTACATGCTCCAAGATTCATAGACCCTGATATTTATGGCAACTAGATTTTGTACATGACTTATTTGGTGGGTGTTGGCAATTCCAGTAACAAATTTAGACTACTGACCTAAATATGTTGTTCTCTGACTTAGTTTCTTTCTGTTCAAGTAGTTGCTCCAGTTCTTTTTGGTTTTGGCTTTTGAAACCACTAGAGACAGATAATCTGTGTCAGAGTATTAAACCTCATATTTTTAATGAGAAAAAATATGCCCACTGAGCTCAATAACTTCCAGAGAAATATTTTGAATACGTTATATACTATTTAACCATGGACAAGAAATAGTATGGAAACCTCATTCATTACTGATAGATTGTGGAGGTTTACATACAGTTCTTTTTCTTACTTCAGCTTCCACTTTGTTGCCTTTGGCAAATATCCAACGGATCTGCAAACTTCGATCAGTGAAAGATTAGGCACAATCAGAATATTTTGTTCTCTTCCTGCCTTAGTCATTACAAGAAAACCACATTATTGCTAATATTTATTGTTTGCTACAATACTGTTCTAAATACTTTGTGAGAGTTTGCCACTGGTCCATAACCATCCTGGACAGCCATTGCTATCATAAGGGGGAAAGGAGGAGCTGGCCCAAACCACATGCCCATGAGGAAATGTTGACTTACCTAAGGTCACACAGGTAGGAAGCAGAGGAACTAGGGTTCAAGTATCAGCCTGGTTTCAGGTCAGTGCTCTTCCTGCTCCAGCATGCTGGAGAACCTTTTAGAGCATCTGCCTGCACCTTTTGTTCTGTCTGGGTGAAGGTTAGGAAGTATGTTCTAGCACCACCTGATCACATGACTGTCTGCACAGAGAAGAGGGAGAATGCTGGCACAGCCTCTGGGGACAGGGCCCGGAGAACTCGGGGCCCGGAGAACTCCGCAGCCCTCTCAACTCCCAGCCATTCCCTGCCCGTAGCAGCTCCAGAAACCTTTTTATTAAGGATGTATTTAGAGAAAATGGATGGAAGGTATGAATTGCAAATACATTTGATAGCACTTTGCATAAATGCTGAAGAAAATTATTACTATTTGAATCAAAGAATACAAAATGATCATGAGGAAGGGAAGACTTCTCCCCCCAGTGTTTTGTATTGCCTGATACTCTCCTCCCGGGAGAACCATTTGGGATGTACACGTTTCAAATATAGTGCCATATTAGGGAAGAGAGTCAAACTAAAAGCACTGTGTTCTCATAAAAAGCAGGGAGTAATTTTATCCTGATGCTACATAATTCAATCAAACGAGTCTCTAACGCTGTGCTGAATGGGTCAGTAGCATCAGGTGAACTATCATATTCATTTCCTGAGCAGTGCCCTTCTCTATCTTTGGGTACCAACTTTTATGAAAACAGGCACCTTGAGGGGCTGAAGAGACAGCTCAGCAGTTAAGAATACTTGCTTTTCTTGCAGAGGACCTGAGTTCAGACCCCAGCACCCACATAAAGCAGCTTATAACCCCCTGTAACTCCAGGTTTAGGGGATCTGATGTCCTCTTCTGGCCTCCTTGGGCACTGCATGCATGTGATACACATGCATGCATACACACACGTGCACACACACACACACAAATTTTTTTTCAAAGCAGGCACCCAGAACTCAGTTTTAAACTACTTCATTTTCCCATTTGAATTTTTATACCTCTCGTCCATCTCATCTATTAAAGAAAGAAACATAGCTGGACATGGTGGAGTACACCTGCACTCTCAACACTTAGGAGGCAGAGCCTTGAGGATAATGAGTTCCAGGCCAGTTTGGGTTACATAGCAGGACATGGAGATGTATGGGGCTGAAGGAGAGAAACACATTGGAATAACCTTACATTTGTACTGACACAGGATGCAGTGATCATCAAAGAAGAAAATAATGAGCTGTTTCCCAAACTACAGCATGAATCATTTTATTTTGTTCTATTTTGTTTGGTTGGTTTGGTTTTTGGTGACAGGGGCTCCCTGTGTAGCCTAGGCTGGCCTTGAACTCATGATCCCCCTACCTCAGGCTCTCAAGTGCTAGGATTACAGGTATGCATAGCCACAGCCACCTGCACATAATTATCTTTTTAGAGACCAATTAAATTTTTTGGCAATAATTCCACTTTTAAGAGAGAATCCCTAAAGAATTCACTGATGCTAGAATTAAAGGTGTCAGGGAGATGGGAGAGATTCCCCCCCTCCCCAAGCCTCTCTCATGTAAAGATTGTGGGTATCTGCCTGATTTTCTTACCTTCATCCCCCAATGCTCTTTGCACACAAGACCCCTCAGATGATTGTTCAAGAAAGAGCTGAGGCTTCTTTCTTATTGTAATAAAAGACATTGCAAGCTGGTGAGATGGCTCAGTGGGTCAAGGTAACTGCCACCAAGCTAGCAACCTGAGTTCGATCCCCAGGATCCACATAATGGAAGAAGAGAACTAACTCCTGCAAGTTATCCTCTGAGCTCCACTGGCTCTCTGTAACACTCAAATGCCCACCCCCTACAATCAATCATTGGAATTTTAAAAAAGACAGAAAAGATGCATTACATATGAGTGGAACTAAATGTGTGAAGTCTAAGGAGCTATAACAAGCCGTGTATGAGTTGCATGTTTTAAGACGGGATATATGAAGCAATGGGGTGGATTTGTGCCTTGAATCTTGTAACTTAGCCAAACTTTTTATAATACTTTTGCTGATCACTCTTTCCCTCAGGTGTGAGGTGGGCACCAACAGCTGGTCTCAATGCAATGACACACCTGTGAAGTTTGCTCGGTTTCCAGTCACTGGTTTGATAGAAGGTCGCTCCTACATATTCCGAGTTCGAGCTGTGAATAAAACTGGAATAGGCCTACCATCTCGAGTGTCGGAGCCAGTAGCTGCTCTGGATCCAGCTGAGAAAGCCAGACTTAAAAGTAAGCTCTTTTCATTTCTCTGGATCTTCCCTAAGCCTTTAAAAAATACTGCTCTAGGCTTCACTGCAAGGTTATCTCTCCCCTCCACTAGAGGGAGACAAAAATAAGAAATCACTGATAGAAAATCCTGGAGTGGGTTGAGCCCAAGAATGTAAAAATACCTTTTTTTTAAAAAAAAAAAAAAAACTCCTTTTAAGAGCTTTAAAAAAACCTCATTTTATTTTTTGTATTATTCAGAAAAGCTTGCCTTGTTAATCTGTGTTCCAAGCATTATGTGTGGAATGAAATATGAAAATAAATAGCCCAAAGAACATTTTGTCTTAACAGTATTAATGTGTTCCAAATATAATTGTATTTATGGTTTGTATTAGTCACTTTTCTATTTCTGTGATAGAAACACCATGACCAAGGGAAATTATAAAAGGAAGAGTTTATTTAGCTTATGGTTCCAAAGGAGCAAGAGTCCATAATGGCGGGGAGGCATGGGAGCAGAGGTGGCTGGAGGAGGAGCAGAAGCTAAGCTCGCGCATCTTCAAGCAGGCACAGGAAGCAGAGAGGGATTCAAGATTCAGTAAGGCTTAAGAGCTCTCTAAGCCCACCTCCAGTGACGTGCTTCCTCCAGCATAGCCACACTTTCTAAGACCTCCCAAAACAGTGCCACCAACTGGGGTAAAATGTTCAAATACTTGGAGCCTATGGGGGACAGTCTCATTCAAACCATCATATGGTTCAAGATGAATTTCTTAACTTTGAAGCCTTCTCCTAACAAGTTAATATCTGAACCCTGTGAACTTCTCTATATTAATTAAAAAACAAATTATATCTGATCTCAATTTAAGCTTCCACTTAGGTAGTATAAAATCATCTTGGACTGGCAAGATGGCTCAGAGGGTAGTGCCTACCACGAAAACTGACTGTGTGAGTTCAATGCCTACTACCTACATGGTAGAAGGAGAGAACCAATTCCTGCACAGTGTCCTCTGACCTCCAGTGGTGGTCTGTGCCACACATGTACACACACAGTAACTAAATAAGTAAAAATGTAATTTAAAAAAATTTTAAATTTTATTCATTTTTTATTTTATGTATATGAGTGTTTGCCTACATGTATGTAAGTGCACCCATATTATGCAATGCCCTCAGAGGCCAGAAGAGAGCATATGATACCCTAAAACAGTAGTTACAGATAGTTGATAGCCATCATGTGGGTGCTGGGAACCCAACTCAGGTCCTCTACAAGAGCAGCCAGTGCTCTTAACTGCTGAGCCATCTCTCCAGCCCTTTAAAAATTTTAAAATAGTCTTTCCATCTATTTATCTTCCAAATCTGAATATCAAACCCATGGTACATAAATTATGCCTTCCATTTCTTTGATGGTGAACTATATGACATCCCCAATAAAAGGGACTATAAAATGAAAATATAAGAATCGTTAGGTAGTAACACTTCATTCTGTTCCAGTAGCCCTTCCTAGTCATGTTAGGGCAGTAGTTGTTCACTGAGATGTGCATGTGGGATGCTTAGGGACATCCCTTGCCTCTATCTGTGTGTGCAAATAGCACCATTCACGAGTTGTAACCAGCAAAAGGGTTTCCAGACACTGACAAATATCCTAGGTACCAGGGCAATAATTCAAATGGGATATTTCAGGCCCACGCCATATTTATAGCTTTATTCTTTACCTTAATTTCTTTTAGTGGCATTACAAATCTCCAGGGAATATAGAGTCGCATTTTCCCTGTGCCTCTGTCTACTCTGCTTCTTGGTTGCCCTCCAGGCTCCTTTCATCAGGCAATGGCTTCCCTCCCTGTACAATTAGTAAATTCCTTCCCATGCTTTTCTTTACTCCTCTTTTATGAATTCCAGCCAAAATAAGAGTTTTTTGAATTGGAAATACATTGTTTTCATTCCTATCTTTCTGTTTTTGCCCAGGTTTGGGTGAAAATCCCTTGAGTAAAGCAGGATTAATCCATCCTCTTTCTTTAAAAAGAATTATTACATTTATTTACCTATTTATTTATTTATTTATTTATCCATATTTTGGGTGGGGGGCATATGCCACAGTGTTTGTTTGGAGGCCAGAGGACAACTTTGGAGACTCAGTTCTCTCCTTCCATTATATGGGACCCAGGGCTTGCACTCAGGTCATCAGGCCTGGTGGCAAACACCTTTGCCTGCTAAACCATCTCTCCCATCCACCATTTTCTTTCTGATGCTTTTAGGGTCACGGATGAAATTCCTCTTTAGCTTTACACCTGTCCCTTCCATTTTTGTTACTTAGAATCTAAGATGATTTTTCATGGCTAACACTTTTCAAAATGTAAAGGGATGGACTAGGAGTGATGGCATATGCCTTTAATCCCAGCGTTCAGAAGGCAGAGGTAGGCAGATCTCTGTGATTTCCAGGCCAGCTGGGCTACAGGGAGACCTTGTCTTCATGATGACAGATACAGAATTACTGTTAGGCTTATGATTGTTCTAGAAGTGTTTCTCTGAAATATGTGCTATCTCTGAAGGAAGCATGTGAAAGCCCATATGTTTCAGGAGATGTGTATTGAGCAGTTATGTGAACACAGATCAGTGGCTTAGCTTATACAAATGAGTTCCACAAAAATCAACCCAGTCAGTCCAGGGAGACTCTAGGCTCTGGCAGATTGAGAGTTTCTAGAAGACAGGGACCATGCCTCCAACAGTGCCTTATACAACTTGGATAGCAACACATTAGGAAAACACATACATGAACTAGGAACAGACCTATTTGTGACTAATCCAACTAGTTTATCAGTTTTTCAAAGCAGTTACCACCCCATCTGTGAACATTTGTGACTTTTCCACTTGTCCCTGTTCAGGTCGTCCATCAGCACCCTGGACAGGACAGATCATCGTCACTGAAGAGGAGCCTACAGGTAAAACTCTGGTCTCCAAGACACTGCCAATATTTCGCTCTGCAGTTCAGCTTTTTGGTAGTGGTATATCGTTATTTATAGTGCTTTGGAAAGAACATTCTGAGAAAGAAGATAAGTGAAATAATTTATCAGAGAATCACATTTCGGGGGCTGGAGGTGCTGGAGATTAAGCATAGGGTCTTGGACATGCTAAGAATGTGCTTAACCATTGAGCTGTATAGCACCAGGCCCTAAAGAATCACATTTCACTTTTAAAGATTTATTTGTACAATTGTCAGATAATGAACTGCACACATGGAAAGTGTACAGTTTGATAAATTTTATTTGTATACATCTGTGAAACCATTGCTGTGATCAAAACAATGAACATGTCCATTACTTCTAGAATTTTCTTATGCTCCTTGGAAATTCCTCCCATTCACTCCTCCCCCATCTCCAGGTCATCACTGACTTGCTTTCTGTCAGTACAGTTCATATTGTCTGCGGTTTTAGGTAAATGAAATCAGACTCATTTTTGTCTGTTTCCTTTGGCCAGCATAATAATTTTGAGATTTATTCATGTTGGTATATAAACCAATCCATCCCAATTCATCCCTGTAAGCCTTAAATGTTCGTGTAGACTTACATGTTTCACTTCTCTAGGATAAACCCAGGAATAGAATGGGTGAGCTATTTGATAGGTTTATGTTTTATTTGTAAAGGAATTGCTGATTGGTTTCCAAAATGATTGTGTTGCTTTTCATTCCCACCAGCAGTGGATGAGGACACCAGTTCTCAGCACTCCACATTTCACTAGTAGTTGGTAGGATGAGTCACTCAAGTTAGCTCTTCTACTAGACTTCATGAAATTTCTCTATGGTCTTAATTTGTATTTCCCTGATGTTGAATATCTTTTAATGTGTCCTTGTCATGTAATTTGACATTTGTGTTAAATCTGAGTGCTTTTTCCTCTAGAAGTTTCATGGTATTCGCTCTTACATTTAAATCAGTGACCGACTTCAGATTAATGTTTCCTACATCATGTGAAGTAAGGATCTCAGATGTTATTGTTACTTGCACATGGCTATCCAATTATTTTGAGCTAGCTATTGAAAGATTATCCTTTGCCCACTGAATTTGCCTTGGAGCCGCTGTCCAATCAATTGACTACATAATCTGTGGATCTACTTCTAGAATCCCTCCTGGCCCATTTTGTTTTCTCTACATCAATACCATCAGCTCTGGCTACTGTAGCTTTTCTGGCGTTCGTTTTTCCACACATCTGACTTATAAAGTCCTCCAGTCTCTTCTTGTTGCTTCCAGAGCTTTATCACTATTCCAAGTCTTTGTCTTTTCACACACATTTTTAAACACTGCCAAGCGTGGTGGCACATGCCCTTAATCCCAGCACTCAGGGAGCAGAGGCAAGCAAATCTCTGTGAGATCCAGACCAGCTTTGCCTACATAGTGAGTTTCAGACCAGCTGGGATTACAGGAAGACCCTGCCTCAAAAAAACAATTTTTTTTCTTCACTGAATCCAGGTTGATGTTTTTCAGTTTACGAACAAAGCACTCATCGTATCTTACTTCTATTTTTAGTTTAGTACTCTCACACATTTTTCTCAAATTTATCTTTGTAATATTTCTAACATTTTAAATACATTGCTTTTGAATTTTAACTTACTTTTGATGCTAGTATATAGAAATTTAATTATCTTTAACATATTGGTCTTATGTCCTACAACCTTGATGAACTAGTTTGGTTTCTTGTTATTTTTAAAAAATTTTAAATAACATTTTTATGGATTTTTTTGAGAATTTCAGACAATGTATTTTGATCATATTCAGCCCCTCCTCCATCTCCTCTTGGATCTTCCCCCACCTCCCCACACACTTCATGTCCTCTCTTTTTTTTTTTTTTTAAAAAAAGCAATCTATCTGGGTTTACATCCGTAAAGAAAACTGACTCTCCCTCTCCCAGCAGCTATCAATTGCCAGTAGTTTCTTAGCTATTGGCCACCTCCCCCCTCCATGCTGGGATTTTTTTTCTTGGATTAAATTGTTAATTCTCAAATTATTTGGGTATTTTAGACTTTTTTGAAGAGTCTTAGGACTATGCCATCTATGAATAAATATGATTTCTTTGTTAGAACTTCTAGTACAACATAGGAGTGGTGAGAAGCAATAATGAGATCGGACATTTTAGTTTTTTTCTGATCTCAGGGGGAAAGTCTTTACCTTCAAACCTAACATTACTATAGAGTTGTTTATTTTATTTTATTTTTTGCATCTGTATACATGTGCGTGTGTGTATGGTATGCATGCATGTTGGCATGTGTGTGCAGGTGCAGGTGTATAATTGTGGAAATGCATGTGGAAGCCTCAGGCTGATGTTGGGTGTCTTCCTCATTTGCTCACTGCTTTATTTACTGAGGCAGGGTCTGTTGCTGAACCCAGAGCTCACTGCTTCTGGCTAGTGTAGCCAGCCCAACAAGGATTCTCTGTCTCTGCCTCCCAGTGCTGGGATTACAGGAGCCACCACACTCTTACATGGGCTCTGGGGACCCGAATTCTGTTCTTAATGCTCACATGGGAAGTTCTTTATCCAATGAGCCATCCCCCAGCCTCTACTGTAGCGTTTTCATAGACTTACTTTACCAGGTTAAGGAAGGTCTTTTTTTAGTGCTCATTTACTGAGAGTTTAAATCAGGAAATAGATGTTAGATTTTTTTAAAATATTTTATTTATTATTTTTATTTTAGATGTATGAGTGTATTGCCTGCATGTGTGTAAGTGCAATGCCCAGGAAAGGGAGTCAGGTCCCTGGAACTGGAGTTATGAACAGTTGTTAGCCGCCATGTGGGTACTGGGAATCAAGCCCCAGGTCCTCTATAAGAGCAGCCAGTGCTCTTAACCGCTGAGCCATCTCTTCAGCCCCAGATGTTAGTTTTTTTTTAAGTGTTTCTTATATATATCTATTGAGATCATTTTTCTTTTTCCACTAAGTTAATAAATTGCATCGATTTGGTTTAGATTATAAACCAATTTCACATTCCTGGGATCAACCCCACTTAGTCTTTATTTATTGTCCTTTTTATATATTGTAGCATATTTAGTAATTTTTTGTTAGAAATTTGTGCATCTTATTCTTTATTATCCTTCTTATAGGGCTATATTAGTTACTTGTTAAACTTTGGTAAGAAAATTTCACATATAGGGCAGGCAAGACAGCTTAGCAGGTAAAGGTGCCTGCAGCCAAGCCTGATGACCTGAGTTCAATCCTCAGGACCCACATAGTGGAAGGAGAGAACAGACTCCTGCAAGTTGTCCTTTGACCTCCATGCACATGTACACACACTCCTCCCTTTGCACCTAACTAGATAACTTAATTAACAACAATAATAGCATGAAATGTAAATGGTTAAAATACCTCAATTAAAAGACAAAGATTGCCCAGTTGTATGAAAAGCAATATCTAACTATATGATGCTTATGAAAAACTCAGTTTAAGCCGGGTGTGGTGATCCTCGAACAAATTCAGGTCATCAGCCTTGGTGGCAATTTCCTTTACCTGCTGAACATTCTTGCTGGCCTTCATGTAGTTATTGACCTGATTAGATTTAAATCTATTATCTTATTTTTTCTATCTATTATACCGGTTTTGTTTGTTTGTTTTTGAAACTTTAGGACAATTTTATTCGAGTTTAAAGACAAATCCTCAGGGCAGACAAGCTGTAAATCTCAGGAGAACGGAGGGGAGAGGAACAAGGTCAGACACATGATGGACCAGCAGCTAGCTGGTGGGGAGGGGAAGGGAGCATTAGAGAAAATGTAGACACCTGAAGCATTGGAGCAGCGAGAAGTGTTAGGGAATGCGTGGTTAGAAAAGATTCCTAAAGAAGAAAAGGAGAAGTTACATGTTTCTGAAGAATTCAGAAAAGCAGGCAGACTTACAGAAAGCCACATGTCTGTGGTCTGATATAGAAGATGCCTGTTATCAGTTTTTAACTTTTTTCTCATTTCTTTGGAACTGAACTTTTTTATTATTATATTTTATCTGTGCTGCATCATTGGTTTTAATTCTTCATTTTGAGTTTTAATGCTCAACATTGCATTTTATAATGTGTAATATGCATCTTTTCACAGCCTACCTTTTCCATCCCCTGGTGCTCTTATTGTCATGCACTATACTTGTGCATAGATTATAAACTCTATAATGTGATATTATCGTATTGACTTCAAATAATCATCTATTTTTCAAACAGATGTTAAACATTAGAAAGTTTCCTATATTTACTCACGGTGTTGCCTTTTTCTTTCCTTTTCTTTTAAAAACAAGATTTCATGTAGTTCAGACTGGCCTTGAACTCCTGCTCCTCCTGCCTCTGCCTTCCAAGTGCTGGGATGATGGCCGTGGGCCTTTCTTTGCTTTTCTTGTGTAGATTCCAGAGTTCATTTGACCAGATTTTCTTCCATCTGAGGCACATCCTTTCTCTTTTATAACTTTTTAAAAAATTTCTTTTAGTTCAGGTTTGCTGACTACCAATTGTTCTATCTTTTGTATGTTGGAAAAGGTCCTTTAACCTTTTAAAAATATATCTTCACTGAATATAGAATCTAGTTAGACAGTGTTCTTTCAGTACTTCAAAGAGCTGTGGATCAGGTGCCAACTGTGTGTGGAGGGCATTGTCACAGAGAGTGTACCGAAGTTTTACATCTCTTTAAAACACTGCACAGGACCAGACAGCAAGCTTGGAAAACATTAGAAGGAGCCCGAGTCAAGATAAATGAAGAATTCAAAAGTAATAAAAGTGAGATTTCTCCTAAGAATAGAAGAGCTAATGAAAATAGATTCTGACATTGAGCTGTTGCTTAGAATGTCTGTTATTCATGGTAATCACACTGACCACAACACACTGAAACTGGTCTCCAGGAAAGGCTTTCTCTAGAAAGTGTGTCGTGTTATGAAGCACCAACTCAGAAGCACTGAACTTTAGGATAAAACAAGGCTTCACACTTAAAAAAAATTATTTTTGGATATTTTATTTATTATTGCTATTTTTAAATTATTATTTATTTGTTATTTTTATTTTATATGTATGAGTGTTTTGCCTGCATGTATGTAAGTGCACCACATGCATACAATGCCCACAGAGACCAGAAGAAGCATTGGATACCCTGGAAGTAGAGTTACAGGTGGTTGTGGGTACTGGGAACTGAAACCAGGTCCTCTGGAAGAGCAGCCAGTGTCCTTAACCATTGAGCCATTTCTCCAGTCTCTTAATTGATTTGATTTTTATGTGTATTAGTGTTTTGCCTGCATGTAAGTACACCCATGTAGTGCAATGCCCAAGGAGGCCAGAAGAGGGCATCAGATCCCTTGGAACTGGAGTTACAGATGGTTGTTAGCCATTGCTGGGACTTAAACCTGGGTCCTCTGCAAGAGCAGCCAGTGCTCTTAACAGCTGAGCCATCTCTCCAGCCATAAGTCCTTATACTTTTAAACCTTAAATATGTAACTCTGGCAAAAGTCCTAGAAATGCAGATTTATTTATTTATTTACTTATTTATTTTGAGCTGGCATGGTAAAAATGAAGGCACTGAAGAGCAGCGTCATAGTCTTCCGTGAAAAGGACATGCTGAGAACTGTGGAACATAGTTAAGGAATCGGGTTCATTTGCATTAAAAATCAAACCTTATACAGAGACAGACATGTGGAAGCGGGAATGACAGTCGCTTCTCTTACCCTTTGATAAGTACTTTGGTTTTACCAGAGCTGTTCAACAATGAAGTGTTTTAACTAGTTGGTGAGTTTTCATCCCTCAGGAAACACAATTATAGATGTAAATTACTAGATTAAATTGATGTTTAGTCCCCAAATATTAAATTGGTAAAAAAAATAATAATCTAACAGTTTCTGCAACTTTCCACAAAAGGCAGCCTTTGTTTCCTAAGATACTATATAGTTATTTCTGTAGATAACAAATAATTATGTAGTTTCTTTTTAGCAACAGGGTATTTCTCTATGTTCTTATAAAGACATTTTAAATCAGTCTTCTGAGGACAGCTGAATAAAATGTCAAAGTCACTTGGGGTTCCTATGGAATAAACACCTGAACGATTCTAGGAAATAGTGGCCTTCCATCAGACTGCGTGTGGTTTTCATAGAATTAGCTGTATTTAGACTGCAGTTAGACTTCATTAGGGAATGTAATAGACGACTGCATTCTCCTCATTTTAATCAGTGAAACTTAGATGACTTCTCTGCTGTGTGTTACATCCTGAAAAGATCACTTGTATCACAGAGGAGCTTAGGACTCTACCATCTAATGCTAGGAGCTATAAACTTGTATTTAATATCTGAAAAAACAGGAAAGGAGAGGAGAGAACAGGAACTTAGTCCACTGTGGTGCAGATCTGCACTGTAACAGCAGCTATTGTCATTATGATGTTTAATTCCTGTATCTGTAGTATCTTTTTTTCTTTTTACTTCTAAGATGTTCTATCACTGGTTTTAGAATTTTGACTATGATGTACATTTGGGTGGTTTTCTTCCTATATACTATGCTTAGTGTTCACACACTTCTCAGCTCTGTGGTTTTATAGTTATCCTTAGATCTGAAAAGATTTCAGTATTGTTTCTTTGGACACTTTTTCCCTATACCCTCCTCTCTCCTCTACTTCAGGAATTTCAATTATTTGCCACTTGAAACCACTTGAAATTGTTCTGTGGCTCATTGGTCCTGTGGTCATTTAATCCTCATCCTTTTGAGCATGTGGAATATGTTTACAACCATTTCTATGTCCTTGTCTTCTAAGTCTTGTTTAGCAGTTCACAGATGATACTAATTCTATCACCTGTGGCATTTCTGGTTTTTTTCTAATTATTAATTATCTTCCCTTATTATAAGCTGTATTTTTTTTTATTCTCTGTATTCTTTGTATTTTGAAGTTAGATTGTGGATATTTTGAGTTTACGTTGTTTGGTGCTAGATATTTTTGTATTTCTAGAAATGCCCTTGATTTTTCTTTTCAGAAAACAATTTAATCGTTCCAAGCCTTGCTTGGCTAGGGGGCAGGGAATACGGGCACTGTAGGGGACAGAAAGGGTAAAGGAGGGGTAAGGAGAGGAAGGAATGAAAGACATTTTCTAGGCTGGGTATGGTGGCACACACACAGACATAGGTGGATCTCTGTGAGTTCAAGGCCAGCCTGGTTTACACAGTGAGTTCTAGGCCAGCTGGGGCTACAGAGAGACCCTGTCTCTAAAAAGACCAAAAAAAAGACATTTTCTAATGAAGATGTCACTAACTGTGAGGACCATCCAGAGAGGACCACGTGCTCCCTACACATCTGACCTTTGCCCAGAAATCAACCCCACCCTCTCCTGGCACAATCTAGACTTGAGTGTGCTTTTCTTCACCATTTTTAGCACATGAACACAGTCTTGGTTTAAGTTTTTTTCATCAACTCAAAGACAAAAACCATTTAAAGACAAACAGTTCCAGGTTCCTTAGACCTGTATGCTAACTGCCCAATGGTATTTAAATGACTGAATGAATGATAATTTGGAGGAAAGCTCAGCAATGAGACTTCTTTATGCTGTGGAGCCACAATCAACTTTTTCTCCAAGAGGAGAGACATGCTTGTGGCTCTCCAAAGTGTCCCTGGCTCCCCTGAATATGTGCACCTCATTCGACCTTGTTGTTTTTCAGAGGGTATCGTCCCTGGGCCCCCCACAGACCTCTCAGTCACTGAGGCCACTCGGAGCTATGTAGTGCTGAGCTGGAAACCCCCTGGCCAGCGTGGTCATGAAGGCATCATGTACTTTGTGGAAAAGGTAAGACTCCAATATTAATAGTACCTCCTGCCACTTCCTAAAGATTTTTTTCTAAAATAGACCTAAGTTCTAGAACAGTGGACTAGAGGAGAGCAAGAGGAATGATCTAAGCTCTCTAAATCCTTTCCAATTATGAACTGTCTCTAGAAAAATGTATATCACATAGAACTTTGCCTGAAAGCTCAGGGGCCTCGTGGATCCTTGAGACTCACTCACAGACTCCTAAGAGGTCCACTGACCTCAAAGCCTAACCCATATAAAAAGAAAAGTATTCCTGAAGCTGTAGATTGCCTATATGGCAGTGTCTCTAGAGACTTCCTCTATCTCCCTTGCTTTAGTGATGGCTTTTAATCTACTTGTTCTTCTGTCCTGGGGATGAAACTAGATGAGGGTCGGTGGCTGGAGGAGTCGAGGTTGTACTACTTTCAGACGGTAGGGAGAGTTAAAGACAGCAAACCTTCACACAGTGCTGCTTAGCTAGTAGTGCTCTTGAATAGAATGGGCCTACACTGGCAATCCGAGACACTGGCTAATTCTTTCCCCAAAACCTCTTCTAATTATGTTGGGGACTAAAACATAGCATACGATGAAGTGAAGATGACTTGGGAGTCAGTCATGCAGCCATATCCAAGGGGGGACAGGCAACTTCGACAAGCAAATGGTAGAGCCAAGACCCAGCCAAGGCGTCATTGGAGAAAGTGGTCCAGCCACCAGCCAGCAACAGAGCACAGGAGAGCCTGTGGGCAGGGGTGTTCCAGAGCCCTCACAGGATCATGGCTCCTGGAAAGGGATGTTTAAGGAGAATTTGCTTAGCAGGAAGCTCAAAGTCCATTTCTTAAGAAAATTTGATTGGGGTCTAAGGACTATAACTCAGGGTAGAGCACCACCTACCTAAATTCCTGAGGTCCTAAATTCAATTCCCAGTACCACAAAGTTGAGATTAGGATCTTACTGAGAAGATAAGCTTTTATCTTATGTGTAAGAACATTTACATTTTTATTCAGAATGATGCACTATTTAAAGAAAATGAAGCCACTGTTCATGTTTTTAATTCTATTCTTATAAAATTGCATAGGACCTTTTTAAAAATAAGAAGCTTGATTAATTTTCTTCTTTTATCTTGAATGCTATTCTGATCATTCAATTTCAGAACAACTATTACATCACCTTGCCTTATGACTACCATAAGAGAAGACATTTTTGAGGTATCTAAGGATACCTGAAAATTAGGTGACAATATAAAGACAATATGCAAGTACTTTTTCCTTTACAGTGCTGAGGGTTGAACTCAGGACTCAAACATAGGCAAGTGTTCTGCCTGAGCTACATCCCCTTTAACGTATATTTTGAGACAGGCTTTCACTCAGCTGTCCAAGCTGGTCTTGAACTTGTAATCTTCCTGCCATAGCTTGTAGCTGTGATTACTGACTTGTGCCACCAGACCTGGCCAATATGTGAACTTTACAAAAATATTTTTGAGAATTTTATACATGAGCATTGTCTTTGCATTATTTCTGCCTCTCCCAGTCCCCTTCTAGCTCCTCCAGTGTTCTTCCACTCCTGAATTTCTTGTTCTCACTTTTTTTTTTGTTTTGGTTTTTTGTTGTTGTTTTGTTTTTTGTCTTTTTTGAGACAGGGTCTCCTGGTAGCCCCAGCTGTCCTGGAACTCACTATGTAGACCAGGCTGGCCTTGAACTCACAAAGATCCGCCTGCCTCTGCCTCCCAAGTGCTGGGATTAAAAGCCTGTGCCACTACGCCCAGCTCTTGTTTTCACATTTGATTATTGGTGCTCATGTTTACTTATGTATACAACCTTTTTTATTTGCACATATTAATTATACATAATAATGGGTTCCATTATGATATTTTCATATGTGCACATACTGTATTCCAGTCATATTCACCTCTTTTCCCTTGTATTAACCCCCTCTTTCTCCTGCTGATTTCCTTCCTCTTCCCAAAGGGGAGCTACCCTGTCTGTTTTCATGCCTTCTTTTTTGTTTTGGGGGAGTTGGTAACCCAAAGAGTTTCTTTCATTGGGGATGCTTATAGGAGCATGGATGAGGGTCTGTTTACAGGAACATGGGTACCTTACCAGTTGCTACTTTACTGAAGAAAATGTCATCCTCTCCACCATCAACCATTAACTGCATATAAGTCCTCAGGGATAAATGGGGCTCCACCAGCCCCCCTGCACCCCTACTCCATGACAGAGTGTTGATGGGCCCAAATAAGTGCAGATAGTGTAATATCCAAGTATCTTTTCTAAAACTACATTTTATTATTTTGTGTGTGCGTGTGTGTGTGTGTGTACATGTATGTGCCCTGGCACATATGTTGAGATGAGTGGGAGCCAGTTCTCTCCTTCCTCCATGTGGATCTCAGAGATAGAACTTAGGTAGTCAGGCTTGGTCACAATTGCCTTTACCCAGTGAGCTATTCTTGTCAGCCAAATATTTAAGTATCTTATTAGTATTTTATTTATTTCAAATCGATGCCTCTTAAGAAAACAACACCAGAGTTAAGGTGTGTTACTTTTCTTTATTAACTGCTCTTTTTGCAGTGGACCTTTGGCTGACACCTTTGAGCTACATGCCTCACTTCTTTATCTGTAGCAAACCGCTGATAATAAAGGCAAGATCCCTTCCACATGCAACATGGATATCTTCCAAGACTCTGGTTTTATGAACATTAAAATTAAAATCATAGGGGCTGGTGAGATGGCTCAGTGTTAAGAACACTGGTTGTTCTCACGGAAGACCTGGGTTTGAATCCCAGCACCCACATGGCAGCTAACAACTGTCCGTAACTCTAGTTCCAGGGAATCTGACAGCCTCTTCTGTCCTCTGTGGGCATTACATGACATGGGTGCACCTACCTACATGCAGGCAATACACACATACACATAAAATAAAAATAATAAATTTTAAAAATTTTAATTAAAATTATATTTGTATTTTTACATGCTGTAGGTGTACTCCTCAAAGTATAACTTAAATAGCATTCATAAAATTTAATTTTATTTTATGAGTTTTTCTTACAGTGCCCTCAGAGGCCAGAAGAGGGCATTGGATCCCTTGGAACTGGAGTTGTTAGCTACCATGTGGGTGCTGGGAACCATTCCCTGGTCCTCTGCAAGAGCAGTCAGTGCTCTTAACCTCTGAGCCATCTCTCCAGCCCCAGCTTTTTTTTCCAAATAGAAGGCAAGAATGGAGTGATAGATAAAAGTTCACTTTCTGGTGTATTTAACATACATCCAACCCCACTGAACTTCCTTGACAAGCTCCATGAGAAGAGCTTCTGAATTACCTCTGTGACAGCAGTTACCATCTTGCTATCATAATGACTCATAGCAACCCAGCCCTGAGGCATTTTCTTCAGATGAGTCAGTACTGGGTTCTGTTGAACATTTCCTCTGGTCACATCAACCCTCATTTTTCCATGTGAGTCTTTAACTTCCTCAGACCAGTTGTGTGTGTGTGTGTGTGTGTGTGTGTGTGTGTGTGCATGCACACGTGTGTATGTGCTTCCACCAGCCTACCCATTTGGATGGAATAGAAAAGATTATTCATGAGTACAGCATTGCTTGAAGAGGCTGTTCGGAGTGTGGTCCATTCTTGTAGAGCATCCCAGATGCTGAGGGAATAGGGATGTAGACCATGTCCAGAGACCTGGATGTACTTACAGAAGTATCTGCCAAGTTTTCCAGATCAGATCTGAGTCTAAATTTATGTCTGAGGAACTGTTGGCCATTTTTTTTTTTTTTGGTCTTTTTGAGACAGGGTCTCCCTGTAGCCCCAGCTGTCCTGGAACTCACTATGTAGACCAGGCTGGCCTTGAACTCAAAGAGATCCACCTGCCTCTGCCTCCTGAGTGCTGGGATTAAAGGCGTGCGCCACCATGCCTGGCTGTGTTGGCCTTTTTAAGGAGAAAAGGTTCTCTTCCTCTGGTCCCATTGCCTGTTCATGTAGCCACCGTGCTGTCTCCTTGACCACCCTATGCTTGCACTCCATGGAACTTTCTCTCTGGGATTTGCATGCACACAGACTGTGAGCTGGCCTGTTGTATCTACAGGTTTATAGTTAACCAAGGAAGCCATCATGTCTATGACCCTAAAATGGTTGAACTTGAGGGGCTCGTTAGTGAGAGGAGCAGATGAAATGGGGTCTTCCTTTAAACCTCTCTATCCCCTGTGTTCTTTTCAGTCTCAAACTTTCCCCTCAGGCATCTTATGCCTTGGACACTTTCTCATTCCTTTATCAAAAATCTGGTCATACAGTGGGCCTTAATACCCAGGACAGAGTATATGGGTTCCAGTTGGAGGGCTATGGGAGGGTGCTGGTGAGGATGGGGCTATAAAGATGATTCAGATTGAGATATTCTGTATGAAATACAACAAAATTTAATTTAAAAAAATCTGATCATGTCAGACACAAAAACAGCATTACTTGCCAGCTGTTTCTATCAAATGGTGGTGGTTGCCAGAGGCCAGGCACTATTCTACACATATCAGCCTACTTCCTTCTTAAAAGTAACCTGTGAGGGCTATACTTTTATATTCATTGTGCCTATTTTATAGATGAGGAAATGGAGTCATTGATAGGCTATATAATTTGCCCCAGACCACAAAACAGGTACAAGGCAGAGGTGGGATTTGAATCTGGACAACCTTAGCTCAGATCCATAAATCTAACTATAGGTTGAACATCTCCAATCCAAAAGTCCAAACTCATGAGTCAACAAGACACTCAAAATGTGCTGAATTTTAGATTTTTGGAATGGGGATGTTTAAATGGTAAAGTCTATGCAGATTTTCCAAAATATAAAAAGTTTCCAAGTCTGAAACACTTCTAGTTCTAAGCATTTTAAATAGGAGAAACCCCACCTGCATTACACTGGCCTGCATTCCAGGCTTCCAAAGCTTAAATCTGTTCCTCTCAAGGAGAGTGAGAGTGCAGTTAATGGGTAGAATTAAAGTTCATAGCACAGCAGAAGGCAGCTATAGTTTTCATTATGAAAGTGAAAATGACTGGTAATTGCTTCTGTGTTTCCCTGGGGTATGTTGAAGCTACATAAAGGTCTGGGAGAATTTTATCCCTTAATAAGGGCAGAACACATACATAAATGACACATTATCATAAAAGATATTGCCCATTTTACAGATGATGTCACCAAGGCCAGGAGCACTCATCTGACATTCCAAGGACATCCAGTTCATTATGAACATAGCTGATATCTGACCCTGAGCCTTTGGGTCCTTCTGCCATGCTATACCTCCCATGTTAAGTCAATAAAGGTTATGTTGAGTGGTGGACTAGCAAACTAAGGTATCAGCTTTGACAGCAAGTCAGTCTATCACAAAATTTGGATTTCTGGAAAAATCTTTCCAAAATGTTTCTTTAAAAGTTCTATAGCAAAATCAAGTAAGGATATCAAAATTTCTTCTGCTGCTGACTTTGAGTAGAGTTGGAGTCTAGGATTGGAGAGTCATTGATCTGCCTTCTCACCGTGTCCTCTGTGTATCACCCGCCAAAGCTCACATTCACATCTTCATTCAAGGATTTCCAAGTCATCACAGATCTTTTAATTTTAAGAATGGAATGTCTTTTTTCATTTATTTATTTTTTTTGTTGTTACTCTTTTTGAGACAAGGTCTCCTTGTAGCCACAGCAGGCCTAGAAGTCACTATGTAGACCAGGCTGGCCTTGAATTCACAGAGATCAACCTGCCTCTGCCTCCTGAGTTCTGGGCGTTTAAAAATTAATTTTTGTTTGAGACGGGGTCTGCTCTGCATCCCAAGCTGTCCTGGATGTCACTATGTAGCCCAGGCTGGCTTCAAGCTCATGGCTTTCCTCTGCATCAGCCTCCTGAGGACTGAGATTACAGGCATGCACCCCTATGCCTGGCTTTGAATTTAAATTGTTTTTAAAACTTATGATTTGTTCTAAAATTTGGGCAAGAAAAAAAGACGTTTACGTGTCACTAACTTTACTCATTTGTTTGTTCATTCAGAAAAGAAAAGGTTGATTATAGTGTGCCAGATATCATTCTGGACTCTGAGGCAGAGCAATGACCAGGGAAGTTCTCTGAACACCTATAACGAGCTTTCCAGTTGAGGAGACAAATAAGTTTCAAATAGTGAAACATTTTGACCACCAACTAAAGCAGGGCAAGGGGTGGAGGGTGATGGGAAAAGGATCTGGTACTCTTCTAAACTGATGAAGGGAAAGGGGTGATCAAAAAAGGCCTTTCTGAGGAGGTTTTAACTAAGTCTGAAGGATGTGAGGAGTCATCCTTAAAAATCAGTTAAAATCATAGGTTGTAGCAGTGTTGCACAAATTTAAGTATTGGACATAGCATATTAAATCTACCTACTCTAAGACTTAGAAAAACATTTCAAATTATCCTTGAAATAAAGATTTCTGTAAGTAGATTAAGGATCATGTTTCTGTATAAAGGAGGGGAAGTATTAAAATAGTTTGTCAACACACAGAGCCACACTCTGTGTAGACTCCTGTTATTTCAGATGTCCCTCCCTCCTCATCACGTCTCCAGTCCAAACTGTGGGTAGCAGTTTGTTGGTAGATGAATAAAACTTGAGTCCCCTTTGTGCTTTGGGGGCTTCCAGTGATGTCACTGTTCTTGCTGCATCAGTGTGACGTGGGAACAGAAAACTGGCAGCGTGTGAACACTGAGCTCCCGGTGAAGTCTCCTCGCTTCGCTCTGTTCGACTTGGCCGAGGGGAAATCTTATCGCTTCCGTGTACGCTGTTCAAATTCAGCTGGAGTTGGTGAACCCTCAGAGGCAACAGAAGCGACCATGGTCGGGGACAAACTTGGTAAGTGTAGGGTCAAGTTGGACAACTGCAAATTTATGTGGTGTTTAGAGAATGTTCGAAAGCAAGAATCAAATACCATGTGCGCATGCACACGCGCACACACACACACACACACACACACACACACACTTTGATCAAAAATGACAATGGTAAGATCCTTCTGTCATACATTTAATTAATAGCATTGTAGTTAGTCTGTTTATTAAACAAAAATTTTCCGGGTGTGGTGGCGCACGCCTTTAATCCCAGCACTGGGGAGGCAGAGGCATGCAGATCTCTGTGAATTCAAGGCCAGCCTGGTCTACATAGTGAGTTCCAGGACAGCTGGGGCAACAGGGAGACCCTGTCTCAAAAAGACCAAAAATAAAATTAAATTAAATTAAAAATAAAAAAAATTTATTGTTTTGCTTATGAAAGGTAAACTTCACAGATTTCAACAGCTAATGTATTTTTTCAATGCCCACATATATTTGGTGTATCATTTTGTTTCCCAAATAACATTTGTTCTTTAGCAAAATACATTATAAAACAAAACCACTGTATGTTTACACAATCGTGTGTTTATGCATATGTCATGAGAATAAAGTTTCGAAGCCACCTTGGGTTTCGTCACCATTTTCTTCTTTACTCAGATATCCCCAAGCCCCCTGGCAAAATCATTCCGAGCAGAAACACAGATACCTCAGTGGTGGTTTCCTGGGAGGAATCCAGAGATGCCAAAGAGCTGGTTGGGTACTACATCGAAGCCAGTGTTGTTGGCTCTGGCACGTGGGAGCCTTGCAACAACAACCCTGTGAAGGGCTCACGGTAATCGAGCGTGTGTGTGTGCAGGCATACATATATGGGTATGTGTGTGTGCACATGTGCATGTGTGCGTGTGCATGTGTGTGTGAGTGAGTAGTGTGGGACTGTGTGTTCCAGAATCACTGTGGGCCATATATAGCACACATATCTAATGGAGAGAGATTAAAACACACATGGGGGGCTGAAGAGATGACTCAACAGTTAAAGAGTGTGTACTGCTCTTGCAGAGGACCTGAGTTCATTCCCAGCACCCACACTGGCTCACAACCACCTGTAACTCCAGCTCCAGGGGATCCAGTGCCCTCTTCTGGCCTCTGAGGGCACTTCCATACACATGCACATTCCTACACACAGAAACATACATATACATATAATATAAAAGGAATAAAATATTTTAAAACAGACACACATGCACATGCATGCATGCATATGCTTACTTTCCTTTAAATAGCTGAATGAAATTAAAGCTGGACATGTTTAATGTAATATATATTTAAATATTTTATTTATTATTTTTATTTTATGTGTATGCCTGTATTGCCTGCATGTAGGTAAATGTACCCGTGTCATGCAATGCCCACAGAGGACAGAAGAGGCTGTCGGATCTGTCAGATCCCCTAAACTGGAGTTACAGACAGCTGTTAGCTGGGATTCGAACCTGGGTCTTCTGCAAGAACAGCCAGTGTTCTTAACCACTGAGCCATCTCTCCAACCCCTGTAATACATTTTTTTTTAAAGAATTGCTTCTGATGTTAAACACTTAGAAACATATAACTCCATCTACAAGTTCATTTTATAGCTCTTTTCTGATTCTTTCCCTTTTTACTATTTTTTTCCATTCTTACCACTCTAGTATTTAATATGCAAAAGGATATTAGAGTCCAAGGACCTAACAGACTCTACCAAACATGACTACCCTGGCATTTTCAATGAATAGAGAACAGAGTATCAACACTTTATAAATTCTGAACATCATCAACATGATTAAACTCAGGACTAAGCAGACAGAAATACCATCAAAGCAAAGACATTCCCAGCGCTCTGCCACCACTGGTGTCTGTTGTCAGTATGGGGAGGGTCTCAGCCAGTTTTGCAAACTGGTGAATTCTACACCCAAATCCAAAGCCTCCTTTAATTTAGGACCAGTGTGAGAAGGGATTCTAGAAACTGTCCAACAAGCTGGTTGAGCAGCTTCTGACCTGGGCCCTTTCTGAAGGCCAAAGACTCCTACCAGATGAGATAGTTCTTCAGAGCATGAGCAGCTGGAGACCAGCAGATTAAAGGGAGAAGGAAATATGTTTTGTTTTCATTTTTTAAATATTTATTATTTTTATTTCATGTGTATGAGTGTATTGCCTGCATGTATGTGATGGCACCTGTGTCGTGCAATGCCACAGAGGTCAGAAGAGGGCTTCAGATTCCCCTGGAACTGGAGTTAAGGACGGTTTGTAGCTGCCATGTGGGTGCTGGGAGTCAAACCTGGGTCAACTGCAAGAGCAGTCAGTGCTCTTAACCGCTGAGCCATCTCTCTAGAAGGGAATATGTTTTAAGATTCATTTCTTTCAATGAAATGGCCATGTGTGGCATTTTTACTCTGCGTCCACCACCATTTCCCTGGGGCCATTAAAAGCATGTGAGCTCAACAGAGTCTTTCCGCAGACAGCTGGAACTGGTGAAGGTCAGATGCTGCTGTTTATTTAGCTTCATATCCACAATAGCTAGTTCAGTGTCTTGAACTCTGAAGTGCTCAATATTCTCCACCCGAGCTGACCCTAAGATATGACTTCCTTTATTAAATATTTGAGTAAGCAAGTAGAAATAGAGTCATTTGCAAACCTGTTATTTATTTGGGTTATAGTCTTTAGAATTGATTTAAATATTGCAGCGATCCATGAAATAACTGTTTATAGCTCTAGTAGCTATTAAGGAGTGTTGTTGTTTTATGTGTGAAACTATCTTGGATTCTTATTGTTAAGTCCTTGTATCTAAATGGTAGAATCCATGTTTTGCTTTATTTTCAGATTCCAATACAATTTCTCAAGCAGTCATCTCTTCCCTAGCATGCAAGGAGACAGTGATTAGATGTCCCAGATAAGAATCTTTCAGTGCCTCCATTTTAAGAATACAGCTGAAATAGCCACTTATGATATAATTCGTGCCACCTATTATTTATTAAGTGCCTCATCATGCCAGACCAACCAGTGGTACTTTACATATTATGCACATCATCTTTATGTGAAAATTATTATGTGACATGATTATTATCCCCAGTATGCTGATGAGCATTCGGGGAGAAACAAGGACTCCTCATTTTTTCTTTTTTCTTTTTGGTCTTTTTGAGACAGGGTCTCCCTGTAGCCCCAGCTGTCCTGGAACTCACTATGTAGACCAGGCTGGCCTTGAACTCACAGAGACCCACCTGTCTCTGCCTCCCAAGTGCTGGGACTTAAAGGCATGTGCCACCACACCTGGCTAGGACTCCTCATTTTTTGACAGCGGGATTTTTTTAAATCGCCATAATTGCCTTCTTGTCTAAAGTGTGGCATCACTGAAGCTCTCTGCTGTGAAAAATGAGTCCTTTTCATAAAGCCAGACTGTTCAGCTCATTCAGGTAAGTCACCAACCGTCCTCCCTAATCTTCCACCTAGAAAATTCTCTGAGAACTTTCTTTCCGTTTTAGATTTACTTGTCATGGATTGGTGACTGGGCAGAGTTACATTTTCCGGGTCAGAGCAGTGAATGCAGCTGGACTTAGTGACTATTCCCAGGATTCAGAAGCTATTGAAGTCAAAGCTGCTATTGGTAAGCTCCTTACACGTAGTTTGGTCAAGGAAAAATGAATTTTTCTGTTTCCATCCTCACCATTAGAAAGCTTCTACTATCACTCCATTATTCCATCCTTAAATGATCATTTTCTCTGACTTCAGGTGACATCTACCCTTCCGTAGCTGTCATTTTACAGATCTTCATCACTTACCCAGAGTCTGAACGTCTGTAGCCTTTGCATCTTCACACTTTCAGTTTCCTCAGACATTCCCCATTGTGTGAAAGTCCATGCTAACTTCATGCTCCCCCTGGGACCTCTGGAGGGTCATCCTGATTCCATGAAGTGGTATATCACCCTTTGCATCTTCACACTTTCAGTTTCCTCAGACATTCCCCATTGTGTGAAACTCCATGCTAACTTCATGCTCCCCCTGGGACCTCTGGAGGGTCATCCTGATTCCATGAAGTGGTATATCATCCATAACTCAGACCATTTGTACCTAAAGCCATCTCGTCTGCAACAGAGCCTGGCTTCTTCCCCCTAACAGCACAGTAGTATGAGTCTTATAAATGCCTCTAAAATTCATGCAAGGCACATGTGGTTCCTTAATCACATACATCATCTTTGCTTGCAACTAACCAACAGAATAAAACCAGTAATAAGGTAATTATATGTGTGCATGTGTTGTACCTCCCAATCTTAATAAAGGGGGAAGGAACCCAGGTAATTCAAAACAACAAAAATGAAATCTATAATGTGCTAACATATTAAAAGAAAAATTGGACCAGACGTGGTGGGGCACGGCTTTAATTCCCAGCACTCAGGAGGCAGGCAGATCTCTGTGAGATCATGGCCAGCCTGGTCTCCATAGCAAGTCCAGACCAATTGGGGCTAGGGGAGGCCATCTCAAAAAGAAAAAGAAGAAGAAGAAAACGAAAAAGAAAAGAAAGATTGGGCTGAGTAGCTCAGTGATAGAGCACATACTTAGAATGTGTAAAAACCCAGGTTCAATCACCAATACTGGTGAAAAACAGATTAGCCAAGTATAATGGTACATACCTGTAACCCCAACACCTGGGGAACCTGAGGCAGGAGGATCGTGAGTTCAAGGTCAGACTGGGTTGCATAGCAAAGCCCTGTCTCAAAATCCAAAGCAAAAACAAAACAAAAAAAAAGATCATTTAATGTCAATTGTCTTCAGTTAACATTTGTAGGACTTTTCAACATTCTTTATAAATATGGACAGTAGTAGACCTGTTCCTTTGAGGTTGGGAGGTACAGATCCTTACCATTAGACTAATAGTTGTGATTCTGTTAACAAATTAAGATCTTCAATACTGTGTCTCCTGTACTTTTTGGTCCTTTTTCTAGTCTGTTGAATATTAGAGAATATATCTCTCAAAAATTGTCTGAGATTTGTTTTTTTCCTGTATGAACTAAAAACCCTTTGGGTTCTGCAAATAGAAATGGTTTCTGTTCTGTCTGAGGTTATTTCTGTTCTCGTTTCTTCTTTTTCCAAAATATGGAGAAGTTGAAATGTTCCTTGATGCAAATTATGTGAAATGTATGCTGTCCTTATTCTTGTAAACAAAGTGATTTCTGTTGAAGCAAGATCGGTTTTGCTCTGCTTGCAGTCCTAATGTTTCTGTTTGTTCTGTCACCCAAGAGCAACACAACAGGGTCTGGCTCACCGCAACTGTAGGGGAAGAGTGTGGAGATGTGCGGCCTCCACTGAGTGATACGCCTGGTGGACTAACAGACTCCAGGGGGGGTGTGCATGGAGCCCCCCCACCAACCTCTCAGAAAGATGCTTTGCTCAGTAACAAATCTAACAAACCTTCACCACCCAGTAGCCCCCACAGCTGGGGCCAGTCAGAAGTGAGTAAAGTAAGTGAATCAGTTCAGGAGGTGCTCACCCCACCGCCGCTCACCCCACCACAACAGAAGGCAGTTCCCAAGGAGCAAAGTAAATCTGAGCCCCCGAAAAAGAAGAAGGACCCAGTAGGTGAGAACTGAGAAGTCCAGCTATCTATCCGTTTCCATCAGTGTCCTCATCTCTCACTGTCCGCATCATCTGCTCATCTGTTTCATCCTCACTGTTGTATTCTGAAGTCTGTGTTTCTACTAGACCTTCAAACTGCTTTCTCTAGATAAAAATCATCACCTGAGTCTGACTTTTATGCATAATTTCTTACCTCTAGCAATGAAAAACTATTTATAGGACCTTTTTTGGGGGGTGGGGAGGGGAGGTGTCAGGAAGATACTCCATGCCCTAGAGGGTAGAAAGGACTTCATAATCAGCTAGTGTTCAGCTCTGAAATGTCCATACTCAGAACATGTAGAGGAAGAATATTTCACCAAGAAGAGACATTGTACCAGGGTCGTATTATTCATTTACACTGGTCATCCTTGCGTTTTTAAGTACTCAAGTACATTTTATTCACATTGCTCTCTCTCAGTTGCTATGAAAAGTGTAGTGTGGTATTATAGTTATATAAACCATATCCCAAGATACATAATCCTCCTCCCAGAAGTGACTCATGTAAAATGATTTGTTAAAAAGATAAGAGAGGGGCTAGAGAGACGGCTCAGTACCCGCTGCTCTTGCAGAGGACCCAGGTTTGATTCCCAGCACCCACATGGTGGCTAACAACCATCTATAACTTCAGTTCCAGAGGAATCCAACCCAACACCCTCTTCTGACTCTGCAGGTATTGCATGACACAGATGCACTTACACATATGCAGGCAATACACTCATACACATAAAAATAAAAAACAATAAATAAAATATTTTAAAAGATAAGAGAGAGCTGATTAGGTGGTCCAGGAGAAAATGTTTTTCTTATCAAATAAAAATGCAAAAAATTTTCAGTGCCTCTTGCCCAGCCCTCTCTCTACTCCACCGTAACTCTTGTACCTCCCCTACATTTTTGTTTTGAATGCTTGTTTGCCCCGTTATCTCAAGATAAAGCGGGATGGTCACTTGAGAGTCCATCTTCAAAGTGTTTTTTGTAAATATAAAGAATCAAGTTGGTGAATAGGGGAGAGAGAACAAATTTTTATTTTAAAAGTCCTTGTTCTGAGAGTTGTTTTGAATAGGAATGAGATAATTTCTATAATTCCTATGATCTAAACAAAAATTTGGGAACTTTTTGTTGTATTGCATCTCTAGATAGATTTTTTCCTTCACTGTAACTTTAAAGTTTCTTAGTTGAAAACTAAATTGGTGAAAAGGAAACCAGCAAAGCCACATATATAAGGAGTTTTGAAATATCCTCAGAATGTTTTTCTAGCGAGGCACTAATGAATGCAGTGATACTTATATAGTACTTTGTGTTACACAAACAACATTCCAACATCAGCTTAAAAATAATGCAATAAATGTGTTATTCACCAAGAGAAAGTCATATGGCAGATTGTGCCTTGTGTTATAAAGTAATTTTTAAAGATACCATTTTACTGAGCTCCAAAATACATTGTTTTTCCTGAGTGGAGACAGAACCTGTGTAATTATAAAGCCTCACCAGGGTATGTGTACCTGACTGGTGATATGGCAACCGTTTGGAACTGTGTGGAAATGTAAACAAGCAAATTGAGGTCAAAACAGATATGTACGCATCCCATTATCCTGAGGGAACAAATAAAAACAAAACTACACAAAGAAATGAAAATACATACCTTGGGGGCTGGACAGATGGCGCTGTAGTTAAGAGCACTGGCTGCTCTTCTAGATTCGATTACCAGCACCCACGTGGTATAACTCCAGTTTAAGGGAATCCAACACCCTCTCTGGCCTCCCCAGGCATTACATGCATATGGTATGCTTACATGCAGGCAAAACATTTATACACATAAAATAAAAATAAATAAATCAAAGAATTTAATAAAGAAAACATACCTTGGGTAAAATATTTCTACTATGGGGTAAAGAATCATTTTTTGAGATGGCTATTAAAATCTTTAATAATTTCAGAAAGTATTTTCTCCCATATGTCTGTTTTTTTCATACACCAAGGAAGAGGCCAAGTGTATGATCAAGCTCTCATTTTATGCCACAACGTCTAATGACCTCACCCATGGTACCAGCTTAGCAAGGCTAGTGTACACAGAATCAGAAACACACTTCTTTCTTACTCATGGCTATTTATATTGCAACAGCGGCGCCATCTCCACCCTATGACATTACTTGTCTTGAAAGTTTTCGGGACTCCATGGTTCTTGGATGGAAGCAACCAGATGAAACCGGAGGGGCAGAAATCACTGGCTATTATATAAACTATCGTGAAGTAGTTGGTGGGGTGCCAGGAAAGTGGAGAGAAGCCAACATCAAGGCTGTCAGTGATGCAGCATACAAGGTAAGCACGTGACTCCGAGGTGTGATACGTCCTATGAATGAGGAAATGCTTGCATTTACACACCCAGCCCTTTAAAGGATTTGTGTCATTTTGCCAGTGTCCATTGTCTATAGGCATGACTTTGTGAAAAATATCCTTGGTTGATAAAAGTAGACTGGCTACCCAAACAGGACTTATATTTTCTGGTTCATACACATAAGCATGATTTTTTTTTTTAGAATATTTATCATAAAATTTATAATTATTATGCAAAATAACATTTTCATTAAAAACTGTAACTAGTATGTCACTACCTTCAGGAGATCTGATAACTCTGAACTTTTTTACTTTCACTGTTGTAACCATGATGGATAAAGGGACATGGGCTTCCTGGCCTAACCTGGCCCTCCACATGTGGCGTGTTCCCTGTACTGGAGGCTCTCATGGCCAGGAGAACATATGTTTTCATATACAGGGGCCTCTGCTGCTCGGTCTGTCTCGGACCTGAGGGGTCTTGCTGTCAGTCTAGCTGTTGATCTTCTTTAGATCATCATTTGCTAAGTCCAAGTTGCCTTCTCCCAGTATTCACAGTCGCCCACACAGTAAGGGTCCAGATCAAGGCCAGGCCAAGGAATGGCCCACCCTCAAATCAATGTCACACTTCAACATTTGAAATTTGTGAAATGTCACACACAACCTAAGAATGCATAACACAAAGTTGAATTGTTTTCTCTTGTTTTTATTTTTTGACAGTGTTTTTCATTATGTGACCCCAGGTTGACCTCAAGCTTGTAATTCTGCTTACTCTCCAAAGTGCTTGTATTACAGGCACTCACTGCCACACCCAGCAGCAAAGTTGTAGCTCTAAGAGTCTCCCATGTCGATATGCAGAGCTGTAACTCAGTTTTTATTGCATGTGGTATTCTGCCTCATGACTGTATCATAGTACACTCTCCATTCCCTTTTTGATCACTTTGTGGGCAATTTCACGTTTTTTTTAGCTACATTAAACAATATAGCTATGAACACATCTGCTGGTTGTATATGCACCAGTTTCTCTAGGTTACTGCCATGTAGACTTATTGAATCGAGGGTCTGTTTATCTTCTACTTTGCTACACAGTTCTAGATTGTTTCCTGAAGTGTGTAGACTGCCATTGCTCTGTATCCTTGCCAACACCTGGCTATTCACAGATTCTCGGTTTTGATCGTTGGGGTGTCAAATGAGTTCGAATATTGTGCTAGTTGCCTGTCTGTTGCTGTGGTAATACACTCTGACCAAAAACAACTTGGAGAGGAAAGGATTTATTGAATCTTAAACTTCCAAGTGACAGTCCATCATTGAGGGAGGTCAAGGCAGGAGCTCGAGGCAGGAACTGAAGTGCAGATCATAAAGGAATGTTGCTTACTGGCTTTCTTCCCCTGGCTTGCTCAGCGATGGCACCATCCACAGTGAGCTGGACCCTTCTACATCAACTAACCATTGAGAAAATGCCTCACAGACCTATCCACAGGTCAGTCAGCTGATGGAAATTCTTCAATTGAACTTCCCTCTTCCCAAGTGTCTCAGTTTGTGTTAAGCTGACAAAAACCAACCAGCACAACGATCTTTTCCTGTGTATAGGCTGCATTTTCATATCCTCTTCTTCAGCATGCCCGTTCAAGGTGCTGTCCATTTTCTCTTGGCTTTCTTATTGACTTACAGTCCTTTAGGGTTGTAAATATAATTCCTTTGTAGCTCTGTGACTTGCGAGTATCTCCTTTTCCCTCCTAGACTTGTTAGTCTTCTCTTTGACATGATCACATTAATTTTCATGTTCATGTTTATTGTAATTATACTTAAAACATTTGTTTTCCATCAGTGATTTTTGTGCCTATTGGAGAAAAGGTCTTCTTTATTCCCAGATCACAGATATACAATACTTGATTATATTCTAAAGGTCTTATGGTTTGTCCACTTACATTTCAGTCATTAATTCACCTATGAAGCTTGTAAATGCTGTGAGGTAAGGGTGAAAATTAATTTCCCTAATGGAGATGCATTTGTTCCAGAGTCATCCAATGACGTGACTCCTTTCCCCACGATTCCCTATATTTGTGTCTGTCTTTGTGCTATCTATTCTGTTCCACTAGTCAGTTTGTCCACCTCTGGACCAATATCCCACAAGATCAATTATTATAGCTTTATAACAAAGTTGACCAATTTCTCCCAGTTCATTGTTTTTCCAGGGCCATTCTTAGCCCTTTCCACTTTAATATAAATTAAGGAATAAAGTTCTACTAAGTTCTCCTAAAAAACAAAGACAAAGCACAACAAGGAAAAATAATAAATTAAAAGTTATTAGAATTCTGATTCAGAGTATATTGAGTCTATCAGTAAGTTGAGGAAAAATTGACATTTTTAAAATGTTGTCTTCTAACCCATCAACACTAATATTTTCCTCCACTTATTTTTCTGTGGGGGCATGCTTGTGGAGGTCAGCAGACAGTCTGTGGAAACCAGTTCTTTCCTTCCATCATGTGGGTTCTTCTGCTCAAACTCAAGTCTTCAGTCTGGGTAACAACCGCCCTCACCTGCCAGCCAGCTTGCCAGCCACGTTGCCATTTATTTTGATCTTTAAAGTTTCACAAGAAAAACTTGTAATTCTCTATAGAAGTCTGCACAGCATTTGTTATTATAAATACTATGTACTTTAGTGTTATAGTCTTTATATTATAGTTTCCTATTGCTGTTTTAAGAGTATAACATATATTGATTTCACATGTAGCTGTTTTAGGTTTGTTAATTTCTAAAATAATTTTATAATTTTGTAAGTTCTTTGGAAATCTCTCTATAAATAGTCATATCAAACTCAAATAAGTTTAAAGGTTATGCTTTTCTTTCTACCTCAGTCTTTAGCACAATGTTGACTAGGGCTGGTAATGTTGGTCATTCAAGACTTGATCCTTATCTTTTTGGTTTTGTTTTTGTTTGGTTATTTTGTCCTTTTTTGAGACAAACAGACTGTCGTGGAACTTGTACCAATCCTCCTGCCTCACCCTCCAGAGTTCTGGGGATATAGACACATGCCGGCACACCTGGCTATTTTTTGTTTTTACAATATTGAGGCTTGAACCCAGGGTCTCATACATGCCAGGCAAGTGCTTTACCACTGAGCTATATCACCAGCCCCTGGTCCTTATCTTAAAAACTTTCCAACATTTTATCATTCAGTCTAGGAGTTTGGTGGAGGGAGGATTTTTCCTTTGCCATGGCCTTTGGGCTACAAGCAAGTTATAGGTTCGACTACCCACCAGGGATATGATTATAAAAGGTTGTAACTTCCAGAGGTTCACCCCAAACTGTATCTAACACAAGAAGTAAATAAATAAAATGCTGAACAACTAGAAGAAAGCAACTCCACCATACACCAGAGGGTGTATTTGTGACAGAAGAAAGTAAATATAATGCTAAACAACTGCTTGTGATGTGGTCAATGTTGCAGATTAGTGACTTGAAGGAAAACATGGTGTATCAGTTCCAAGTGGCAGCCATGAACATTGCTGGGCTGGGAGCACCCTCAGCAGTAAGCGACAGCTTCAAATGTGAAGAATGGACCATTGCTGTTCCAGGTAATCTGGGAACTGGGTCTCAATATAGAGCTTAGAATTTCCTCCAACAAAATGTACAAGTAGGAATTAAGTGAAGTAATACATAGACAGTGTTAAAGAGAAATGGATCCTCTTGTTATGTTTACCTATGATAGCATTAAATAATAGATGAGAAAATGAAATTGAAAATAAATTCCTTATGCTGTGTTTTAAATATCCCAGAGCTGCCATTACTCAGCCCCAGATTGGAGTGAGGTTGACAGAAGTACACAATGTGAGTATTTCAAAGGACTTCCAATCTGCATTTGTCTCTTAGAGGCCAGTAAAGCAAGCGTGTATCCCATAGCAAGCTTTTAAAAAATTTTTAAATTGAATTTTTGTGTATTTCATACAGAACATCTCAATCTCTATCATCTTTATACCCCCTTCCCCACTGGTGCCCTCCCATAGCTCCCTTCACTGGAATCCATACATTCTGTCATTTGTGTTAAGGTCTATTGTGTCAAATTAGTGCCCCCAGACATTCTGCAGTGCAAGTTCATCTGAGGTCTAGTCAGCCTATGGTGTCGGCATGCACAAGACCCATGCAAACCCAAGTTGACAAAAAAACAGCACAGAACTGGGGAAATGGACAGCAGATCCCAATCTTAGCTGAAGAAATATTGGCAACTGATTACTGCTGGGTGAGGAAGAGCTGATCTCCCTAAAGTGAGGGACCCCAGATAGCAAGCTTTCTTCAGGAAGTGCTTCCTGCACTCCCTCACTTGCCTTTTCCCAGTGCTCCTAAGTGCTCACTGGTCAACCCCACTTCTCCCTCTGGAGATGCAGCCTACATGGCTTCTCCTCATTATCTGTACTCCTCCCTCTTCCTAGCTCTTCATTAAGGTACCTATATAAAGCAAGGTTTCCCATACCTGCCTGGGATGGAAGCCTGGCTTCTCTTTACTTGCCCCTCTCTACTGACTGCCCCTGTCTCCCCCGCATCCCTCGCAAACAAACTGGAACCTGGTTGGAAAATAGTCCACTTTTCAAGTTGTCATGGGTGTGGTTGGGTAATTAAGAAAAAAAAAGTAGACAGAAAAAGTGACCTGTGCTTAAACCTGTGCTGTAAAACCAATCAAATGTAAAAATTTGAATGTCAACAAACTTACTAAGCTATTGAAGTTCCAACTAGTAATATCAGAGTATGTGGTAGATGACTGAATTTTGCTTCTGATGGTACTGACTTCAGAGATCCAAATATATTTAAAATATTTATTTTTTATGTGTATGAGTGTATTGCTGCATGTATCTAAGTGCACCTGTGTTGCACAATGTGTGCAGAGGTCAGAAGAGGGTGTCTGATTCCCCTGGAACTGGAGTTACAGATGGTTGTTAGCTGCCATGTGGGTGCTGGGAATGAAACCCAGGTCTTCTACAAGAGGAGCCAGTGCTCTTAACTACTGAGTCATCTCTCCAGCCCCAAGATCCAAATATTTTGAGTGTCACAGGATAACTCAATTCTCCAAGACTCCTGGGTTTGAAAAGTCAACATATCTAACAACTGGCATGAAACTACCATAGATCACATAAGTACTTCAGGCTACTCTGTGTAGACAGCAGTCCTGCCCACCCAACCACCCTGTCTCCTGTGTCACCCCTTCTTCTATTTGAAACTCTGTGTCCTTGAAGAACCTCCATGCTGCCCTCACTTAGCGAACACCTGCTCTACTTCTCTGCCAAGTATGAATAAAAAGATAGCAAGAAGCTGCTGGGGTGGTGGTGCATGCCTTTAATCCCAGCAGAGGCAGGCAGATCTCCAGATCAAGGCCACCCTGGTCTACATAGTGGGTTTCAGGCCATCTGGGGCTACATAGTGAGACCTTGTGTCAAAACAAAAACAAAAACAAAAAAAACAAAAAAGATACCAAGGAAAAGAAAGAAACTGAAGAGGTTCCGAGCGCTTCAACTTCGGCAAGTCCACAGATGCCAACGCTGCTTTGTGGTACGTTCCTGAAGCCAGTGGATTTTCTTTTTGCCACCAGCACACAAGTGGATCTGCTTCCAAATTCTTGTAATTCCTGAGTAAAGCTAAATAGTCATGGCAATTATAGACTTAGCAATTATGAGCGAGCCTGTAGGAAATGCACCTGTAAAAAGTGATCTAATTGAAGGAAAATGTTGTAGGTGAGCTCTGAAACCTGCAGCCAGGCTTCTCTGATCTGTCCTTGACTTGGTGAATAGTGTCAGGCAAGCAGTGCCTTAGAACACTCTTCTAGAAGAGCAGTAAGATTGCTCTCTCTTCCTTTCATTATGAAGATAACCAAACTGAGATGTGGGTTAAATGATGCATGGAAAGCCACCTGCATCAGAATTAGAATTAGGGCTGAAAACGTGTTCTTTCTCTCCTCCAGCAGAACCTAGTTAGTCCCCCTCTGTATACAGAGGCTGCTGACTATTTGGATGACTCATTGGGTTCTAAGTATGACCGAGGTTCATGGTCACTAAAGTCCTTTGTCTAATAGAACATGCCACCTCATTTGGTATGAATATTTTAACATATTCCATAGGCGACCTTGGAAGAGAAGACTGGTGCAGACTTGAAATTGCTAAGCCGAGGCAAACAGGCAAATGCTGAGCTATTTGCTCTGAAATGCCAAAGCATAGCATGCAGTGGCACTGTTCGCAGTTCATTTCAGGACATTGAATCACTTCCGGTGATTTTGATTGGCTGGTTAGAAATCAGTTGTTATCTGAAAAAAGGAAAAAAATGTACCTCACCTGAATCTGGCAGTCACACAAAGATATCGGTGACAGCATCATAGTTTGGGCCCTCTAAAACTGCAGCAGTGTACACACAGCGTGCATCCTGGCAGCCTTTCCTCAGAGGGTTATCAACTTATTTGGCTTCTGTGGGCCGTCTGCTAATTGTACCAGTTAACACAAATTCAGGGCACCTGGGATGGGTTGCATTTATTCTAATGAAACACTTTTATAGACTGTGAACTTTTCCACCCATTTTTAAGATATAGGTTTTAAGGGAAAATTTTACCTCCAGTTGGAAGTTACTCCTTTTTCCGTTGAGTGAACTATTGCTATCTATGCCACCAAATAGAGTTGCCTTCTTTAAACTCCTGGAGATTGAGGGGCATTTTTAGACTCTTATTAAAAATAATTGGAACCCAAGCCTGCAGCTGTACTAAACTGTGTGCGTGTGGGTCTGAGGACAGCCTGAAGGAAGTTTCGATCCAGCTCAAAGAGGCATCTCGTTGTGTCCTTGACCACCTGCGTTTACTGTGTTGTTGCAGAGCAGCTGCGGAAACTTGGAATGAAATGACTACAACATACTCATTTTCAGGAGAATGCTAGGTTTCTAAAAAACGCCAGCATCGGAGTCAGCTGTGATCCTAAACTGGATGTACATTTACTCATACTGAGTTTTCTTAATGCACATTGTAATTCTGTTGCCTTCTCCCCCTCTCTCAGGACCTCCACACAGTCTGAAATACAGTGAAGTCAGGAAGAACTCCCTGGTTCTCCAGTGGAAGCCTCCAGTTCACTCTGGCCGGACTCCAGTCACTGGCTACTTTGTGGACCAGAAGGAAGCCAGTGCCAAAGATGACCAATGGAGAGGACTCAATAAGGCGGCCATTACGAACAAATACCTGAAGGTGGGAGGATGCTCAGGATGTAGAGCCTGCTTTCTCTCTAGAGAAACTCTCTTAGTTTAGAGTTGACACAATCAAAGAGCCTGTTTCATTTATTGGGTTTCTGGTAAGATTCTACCTGCAGAGGTTACGATTGGGGATTTTTTTTTTTTTTTGGTGCTTGAAACAGTTTGGTGACGTTTTATATGGATTCCTAAACCTACTTTGAAAAGCACCCACCAGCTCCCTCCTCCCTCTCCTTTCCCTCTTTGCTTCAACTCCCCCCCCCGACATTTCTTTTCCTTGCAGTCTTAAAACATATTGTCATCTCCCAAAGGTGACTTTTTCATCCCTTCTCTGTTTTTGACAGTGGCTTTTTGCTGGAGGGTGCTATTTTTACCGAGTTCATGCCAGTGCATCTGTAGCTGCGAGTTCTTTGGAGTCACACCCTGTCGCCCTTTGCTCATTCCCTCATGCCTGTGTTCACATGAACTTTCAGAACTTAAGGGAATGGGTTCACTCAACTCTTGACCTTAGCCTCACCCTCAGCATGCCAGTGACCTCTAACTAACTAAACCAGTGCCTAGCTGACACAAAGATACTGGTTGGAAACCACCAAATCTTTCACTTGTGCCCATTGGGACTCTCAAGAGGATGCTTTTCCCTTGGGCCTTGGCAGGAGTGTGGGGAGGACACCTGAAGACCCTCAATCTACAGTCTTCAGAAACTGTGAGGGCTAGAACTCCATGCTTCATTGAAGGGAGTTGGGGAAGTGGTGGGAACAGGATGGAGGTGAGGAGGAAATAGTTCCTGTTGAAATTATAGGAAAGGAAAAGAAATCCAAGAGAGGAGGTATACGTGGATTACGCATTTGAGACCAGCTGTCCTTTTTCCGGAAATAGTGCAGATGTGTTCCCGTCACACCAGTGACTAGACTGGAATGTGGCTCTCCTGCCCCTGCGGTACAGAACCCTGACTCACTGCCATCATGTGCGTGGCAGGTGCAGATATGTCAGGCCTGGTAATTGGTTTATTTTATCACAAGGAAATGTTTCTGTTCCGCTCTTGGCATTACTTTTCAAGGTTGAAACATGATCAAATTCTATGCATTTAACCTTGTGCCTAAGTTTAAGTTCATTTACAGATTGAAATTCATTTCAAAAATCCATTAGCTAAGCTGGGTGAGGTAGCATGCCTAGAATCCTAGCACCTGGGAGGTAGAACAAGAAGATCAGGAGTTCAAGGCCAGCCTCAGCTATATAGTAAGTTCCAGGAAAGCCTGGTCTCATAAAACAGAAAAATAAAAAAATTAAGAATTTATTAGCTCCAGTGAAAGCTATCGCTATATAATAATACTCTGTTATCATCAGAGTAAAACCAAATAGATTTTTAAAAATCTGTAACAATAGCCAGGTATGGTTGTGCACACCTTAAATCTCAGCTGGGGCAGGCAGATGTTTGTGAGTTTGAGGCCAGCCTGGTCTACATAGCAAGTTCCAGGCCAGCTATGGCTGCACAGTAAGATCCTGTCTCAAAACAAAATAAAACAAAACAAAAATCCCCAACAGTCTAAAAGTATATCTACTTTAAATAGTCACAAATGCTTCACTGAATTGAATACATGCATCCCACCACTGATTTAAAACACATTTTGAATATTGATCTCTATTACAGCATTAAGTGGAAAATTAGACCTGCTTTCTATAATAAATTCCTTCTTAAAATATACCCTTTAAAGTTACATGTTTTAAAAATAAGACATTTATTTGATAAAATATAAACAGTGTTTTTAGTGCTGAGAGTAATAACAGGGTAGTACAGAGCCCAAACCAAGACACAAAATAATTATGATACAGATTCTCATAAAGCATCTTGATTATTAAAAACTTGATGTCAGGCTGATGTTGGGCCAACAAGATAGCTCAGTGAGTAAAGATGCTTGCCACCAAGGCTGCCGATCTGAGTTCAATCCCTGGAACCCACATGGTAGAAGGAAAGAACTGACTCCTACAAGTTGTCCCCTGATTTCTCTATGCATACTGTGGCACACCCTCCTTACCATACACACACACACACACACACACACACACACACACACACACTAGTATCTTTTAATTGAGGCTTTAGAATATTTAAAATTATTTTTTAGTTAGCATGCAAAGTAATGGGTTTCATTATGGCATTTTTAAAAAATACTTTTGTTTTTATTTTATATGTAGGAGTGTATTGTCTGCTTATGTATAAGTGCACCCGTGTTATGCAACGCCCATGAGGTCAGAAGAGGGTATCAGATCCCCTGGAACTGGAGTTACAAAGGGATGTTAGCTGCCATGTGGGTGCTGGAAACTGAACCCAGGTCCTTTGCAAGAGCAGTCAGTGCTCTTAACAGCTGAGCCATCTTTCCAGCCCTCATTATGGCATTTATTTTTACATACGTGTATGTATGTATGTATGTATGTATGTATATATAAAATTATGCTCTGTTCTTATTCCCTCCCCCTTTGCCCCCTACTGTTGGTCTCCTTCTTCTTTCTATGAAGTCCCCTCTTCTGCTCTCATGTCACATGGATTCCATGGCTCTCTGTTCTGCTCCTTCCCCTCCCTTTAGTCTCTTCCTCTCCTTCCATAGTGCCTTTTCTATTTCCGTGTCCTATATTTGTAAAATGTAAATCTGGATTCCACATGTGAGATGAAATGTGATCTTTGTCTTTGAGTCTTGCTTATTTCATTTAACGTAATGATCTCCTATTCTAACCATTTTCCTGAAATTTTCGTAATATTTTTCTTTACAGCTGAATGAAATTCAATTATATGCACATCTCACATTTTCCTCATCCTTTCAACTGCTGTTGGATATCTGGACTGATGTTCTATATATAAAAAGATGTAGAATTTGAATACACTTTGGTTTTTCACAAATTTCTTAAATTTGAAGTTAATATGTTTAGTGAGAAATACCCATATTAAATTTATAGGGCAGGGTTTTTTTTTTTTTTTCTTTTTTATGCGTTAA